CCATACAGTGAGCCAGTTTTCCCTACGCCATCTACTAAACAACTCCTCCTTTCCCTCCTTTATCGGATACCAAGTTCCATGTGTACATAGGTCTCTCTCAAATCTCTATTCTAATCCTTCGGTCTAGTGATGTGGTCTTACGTCAAAACCACATTTTTTGTTACTGTGTCTCAGCATCTGGTAGGGCCAGTCTCTCATCTTCGTCTGTTCTTTTCCCCCCGAAGGTTGACTTAGCTATTTGTGGATGTTCATTTTCTATATAAATATTAGCATACGTTTATCATGGTCCTCAAAAGATCCATTTTGATTGGGATTGCAGTGAATTTAGATTGATTTGAGGATAACTGACATCTTTATAATTTATTCAGATCACTTCTTTGTCTTAGAGTTTTAAATTTTTCTCCATAGAGGTATTTTGTATTCTTGGTTAAATTCAATCTAGATGCTATTGTGAATAATATCTTATTTTTCTAACTTTTTTTTTTTTGAGATGGAGTCTCACTGTGTCACCTGGGCTACAGTGCCATGGCGTCAGCCTAGCTCACAGCAACCTCAAACTCCTGGGCCCAAGCAATCCTCCTGCCTCAGCCTGAGTAGCTGGGATTACAGGGGTGCACCATGACACAGGCTAATTTTTCTGTTTTTAGTAGAGACAGGGTCTCACTCTTACTCAGGCTGGTCTGGAACTCCTGAGCTCAAGCAATCCTTTCGCCTCGGCCTCCCAGATTGCTAGGATTACAAGCATGAGCCACTGCGCCCAGCCGGATATCTTATTTTTATTTAATTTCCAGCCCACTAATAATACAAGAAATGCTATTGATCTTGTATATAGCAACCTCGATGAATGCTTCTATTAGTTCCAATTGTTTGTTTTTCTAGGTAAATGTGTCAAAACCATATTTTTTATTACTGTGTCTCAACATCTAGTAGGGCCAGTCTTTCCTCTTCATCTGTTTTTTTCCCCCCTAAACGACGACTTAGCTATTTGTGGATATTTTTGTATGAGAAATGCTATTGATTTTGTATATAGCAACCTCAAAGAATGCTTTTATTAGTCCCAATTGTTAGTTTTTCTAGGTAAATAATCTTGTCATCTGCAAATTATGAATTTTATCTCTTTTAAAAAAGAAGCTTACTTCTTTTTCTTTCCTTATAGCACTTGCCAGGACCTCCAGGACTATATTAAACCATAATAGTCAAATGCAGCCAGAAAACTGTTGTCTTGTCACTTAGCTTAAAGGAAGTGTATCTATAGTTTCTCCATTTAACATAATGTTTGCTGTAGGATTTCTTTTTATTGCAGTTAAGTACACATAAGAAAATTTACCATCTTTACCATTTTTAAGCATATGGCTTAGTGGTATTAAGTGTGTTCACATTGTTGTACAACCATAACCACCGTCCCTCTATAGAAAGTCTTTTCATCTTGTAAAATTCAAACTGTATCCCTTAATCAATAACTCCTCATTTTCCTCTCCCCTGCTGTAGGATTTTTCTTTCTTTCTTTCTTTCTTTTTTTTTTTTTTTTTTG